AGGACTGAAACCCTTTGATCACGTAGACCACTGAACAAATTTGTAGCGTAATCGACGAATAACCCATTAATGGTTTGAGTAAATTACAATCTTGGTTTTTCGGATGCAGAATCATCTACACTGCACTTAGAACGCAAATGAAAGGAATGGGACATGATGGAAAATTAAAAGTAAGCAGTTCTATACTTAACGCCAAATACGGAACAACAACGAAGCATGATATACTGGTTCCAGATACGTAGTCGGGCACATACAGCTCTACAATCCTGTTTATAACGATAATGTCGATGACACCAATAGCATAATTTCATTAGCCGATATTGTCATATCAGTGAGTAGTCAACTATATGGGTGACTACTTATCGTCATTGACCAACAGCACGAATTCTTTTCTAAATCAATTACGTCTGATTTTTTAGAAGCTGGGATTGATGGATGAATCATTGTGCAAGCGAACGATCGGCGACATGTGTCAAACAACATTTGTGGGGCTTATTGAAGGATGTGGGTGATTACAGCGAAAGTGATCCACGTTGAAGAATTGTTCAACAACTAAAAACATCTTGAAATGATTAAGACCATTATAAGGGAATCTACGTAGCAGTAGTGAGATTGCGTTGGTAGTTAGGAATCGTTGGTTATTTCTTTCTTAGAGCATTGCCAAGCTAGGCACTGAGGTAGATATTATGGATTTTCAGAGAGAACATGCTTCAATGCGTTAGCTGCAGCAGAAAAACAGCAGTGTTGGTGGGGCAGTTTTTTAATGAGTCGCTTGTTCGGGATCAAACATCGGTTGGTCGGTGGTCGAGAAACATTGCGTGCTAGCGGATGACGACAGCCAGAGTGTGTTGTCACACTCGAACATAGGCATTGGCGCGAGTTCTCAGTCACATATGACAATCATGTCACCACCTCATCTATTTCTTCGTACTCGAGCAAAGCTTCACCCTAATGCTGCTGGAGATGGATTCTTTCCTGACTTTATGGCTGAAGCTGTGCTTGATATCCCTGAAGTTTTTAATATTATTGGTAGTAGCAAAAAAGGCATTAATAGTGGAAGCTATTGACTAAGGCCTTCGGCACCAATAAATCCTTATGGATAATCGATCAGTTCGCGTTTCTTAAGCATCTTAGGAGTAACTGAATGCATATACTGGTCTACAAAGTGGGGAACCGACGATTCGGATCACTACATTCTGTCTTCCCACTCCAACTGGGAGCAATTGTTTTCCCCCAGAGAGATGGAGAGCTTCCCGTGCTTGCACGAAAGACGTAGTTGAGCAGCAGTACGTGTTCATTCTGAGAAACTTCAAGAAACTTCAAGTCACTTAGCTACGCACACCGAATTTCTTCAAAGTAAATAAGAATATATACATTGAAAGCGGTATTTATGAATTTATCAAGACATTGTTCTAACATACAGTATAGTAACATGACGCCAGCATAGTCCTCATGTGTATCTTTTGCAAGCCAGAGTTTGCAGGGCTTCTGATATCGAGTCTTTTGAAGTGTGATCTTTGCATCGGCACCCCTTGATATGCCGTTGCCGTCTTTTAGGACATAAAATTTCATGATTTGTAGTCACGACGTATCATTTGTGAAGCCTACCTGATCTACGGCTGCTCGTAGCGTGCTCTGCAGCTTTTCTGGACTTTGCTCGTTGTAAGAGCAAAAATTGATGTGGTTATCTTAGTTTAGAGTATAACTAACACTATTCTCTATCAGCCAATTTGACAACGCTGGAAGATCCTGCGCTCTGCTTGGGTAGTGTCCAGAAATCGGGTCACGTATTATACAAGAAGTCGGGAAATTGAAGAGTGTAAGCATGCAACAAGATTGTGATTGTTTTCCATATTGCTTTATCGGCATGCTGACAAGCCCTTGAAAGCTTCATTTTTCGTTTGGCTCACTTTTGTGGCTAAGTTATTTATTGCACTAATTTCTCGGACCCGATACACATAGCTGAGGCGTTTTGGGGGATATTCGCTCCGCCCATTATGAACTTAGAGTTAAAGCAAACACCATACTAAGGAGGCAGACACATAACAAGGAGATTTTGAAATCTAAACTGCTATTCTCGCACAGTGATTGACAACACTTGCACGGAATCCCTCGAGGCATTCCAACTAATTTACATAAAGCCAAAAATGATTTGCAAGTAGAAGTGTTTTCTAATCACGCGTGACCTCGAGCAACTCAGATTAATTCATTCTAACCTGAGCCACGCACATTCCTCGCTCATGCTGGATTTTGTGCAGTTCGTAGCCAATAATTATTTGAAAGAGCTAATAAGAGCGCACTAATTAGTGCTTCAACAAAGCTGTTTACTTTGAGATCTGCAAAACTGCTAAAAAATTTATTATATAAGGGGGAGCAATGCGATGATGATTTTGTTCATTGTACAGACGACCAGAGAACCCAGACCCTTACTCGACCGATTCTTGAGCTCACCAAAACTCTTATCTCTCCAGAGTGAAAGAAATGGTGCCAGATTTGTCCGAGGCGAGCTCACCTCTCAAATGGAAAGCCCTAATGCGAGAAGCTCAGAATGCAAGGAGATTAGTCAGCTCATTACGACATTAGTCATGAAAACAGAAAATTCCTCAAGCAGCGGGAAAGCCGCTCCCAAAAAATTATTTAAAAACATTTTGAGCTACTGATGCAACAAAGCGTTCAAATACCAAGTTAACGAGAAGAGTTAACTAAAAATAAAACTAACATGTACATTGCTTTTTCCAAATTGCGTGTGTTCGTATACTAGTTGGCTTTTATATTGGGTTCTCCGATAACTTTTTCCGTAATATTGTTGGATTCAGTTTTTCTATTTCATACGGGTTGATGCCGAATGGCTGTGATGCTTTGAAAAATGTCTGAATAACTTTAATTTGGGCCGGATACTTGGATACTGGCAAGATAATAGGATTCTAGGCCGGAAAACTAGCACCTAGATCCGCCAGCTTAACCAAAGTCAATTTTCATGTTCGATAGAATATGCTGGTACTTCATCTGAAACTGGCAGGCATGCTGTTTTGGGAAGTGCTCGAGACAATTAGACGATCAATGTCGACGTCTGCGATGAGCAACTACGGAAATTGGACGCAGCAGTGCGAGAGAAGCGTTCGAAACGACTCAGAGTCGTCTTTTCCAGTAATATAATATATATAAGTAATATAATATAAGTAAAATGCACGAGTTCATGTCGAAAAGTCGGCTTGCCACATTTTGGAGAAACTGGGCTGGACCGCGGTATCACATACACCGTATAGCCCTAATACTGCCTCGTTTGATTATTATCTCTTCAGCGTCCTGAAGAAGCATCTGCGGCAGAAAACTACAACCAGCTTGAAAGTGACCTCACCGGCTTAATTGATAGTCAGCCCCATGCTATGTGGAAGAAAAGTGTTCACTCTTCGCTCAGCAAAAGGTTTCATATCATTAATCATGATGGTGATTATATGTTTGATTAATTGACTTTCTCAATAATAGTAATTGAATAATCAAAATGTTGAGAAGATGAAGAAATCAGAGTACAATCCACTAAGTGTACAACACGCAGACTATTGATTTCTTTTAACCCCTTTGGAGTGAAGCCTTCTTCTCTTAATCCATAGACTTTCACTAGTCCTTTCACTAATCCTTCGATAGCTTGAACATGAAAAATTTCAATGTTTTATTTGGACTAGAACAAAGCCTTTTAATGCACTGTGGTGGTGAAAACAACATTACGTTTCACCTTTGGCGCGAACCCTTTCTCGTCTAGGGACTGTGGCGCTCCTCGCTGAACTTTTAGCACTCGTTTGATAGCTTGAATAACGGATTCTGGAACTAAATTTAGCCTTCGAAGAAGCTTTTATACAATAGAAAGAATATCACTTCGAGCATGAAGAACTTTACGCATTAAAAGCAAAAGGGTGTGTAGAGAAAATAGTGACTTCTCGCGGTATCGAAATTATTTACAGACGAAGGAAGAATTTCCAATCGGATAGCGAAATCGTCCTTCTTGGAACTCCAGGTGAAAGCACTGAGTGTGACGCGACTTGCGCGAGAACGATATACGTTAAATGAAAATTTCTTCCATTTCGAAAAAGTTCTGGGTTCCTCACATTAGAACTTTAGGCAGCTTTCTCCTATGCCCTAAAAAAACTATCATCTTGTTCTCAATTTATGCTGTCAAACGATATAAAATAAACCATCTATGAAGTTCAAGCAGCGGGCTATCTACTAGAACACGGAACGTAATCTTTCTTTCCTTCTTACAGTGTTCTAAAAAAAATTTTCGAAGCACTACCCTGTTTCAGGATTGAGAAGATCTGTGCTATCAAATGGCTACTAAACTTCCAATCAAAAGCAGTCCATAGATTGACTGAGCGATTAACTGGAAGTCTCCGCTTCTCACCGAAACTCATAGCTAGTTCAGCCATTTTACTTCTGAGACAACAAATTTTCTAAATGTTCAAGCCTAATCGATTATGACTGTGGTCTCGTTCCACCATTCGTCGACGATGTGGTATTACACATCTTGTTTTCAATTTCATGGGAAATTTCTTCGACTTCGCCACATTATCGTATTGAGGGTAATGGCCTACGTTGCCAAATACGATACTAGACCGCATCGTTCAAGGGAGAAAGTTGATTTTTTGTCGTATGTTGTTCAAAAGAATCTATACTCATAGCCAATCATGAATTATCTCAGTCGGAGTTCTGTTGTCTGTCATACGCTGCACTCAAGCAATGACGCGCCCCCGGAAAAGCTGAGATGTGGGCTCGAATCCCAACTGACGCAAATGTTTTTGCACATCATTCTTTATGAGTGGGTGTATTATACAATCTTACTACCGCTAGAGGCGGTCAAATAAAAAGTATTCTGACAAATTATTAATACTCAATATATGTCAGCATAAGTAAGTTCAATGCCGATAGCGACTACACACGCCAGACCGTTGGCGGTTGAGTGTTGACAGATAACGAAATGTAGCATAGGAAGAGTGGTGTCAAAACGGGCATCGGTAGTGCAACGGTTCAGCACGCGCCCGCGGATAGGGTGAAATGTGGGTTCGAATCCCAGCTGACGCAAATGCTTAGCATATCACTCTTTATCATTGGGTATATTATTAAATGATGTAACTGTGAGTCAGTCTTGGGTTCGGAAAAGGTAAGAGGATCACATTGAAAGAGGAGTCGTGCAAACACACAACGATTCTTCTCCTGGATCTTGCTCAAGAGTAAGTGATGCAGTCCACTGGAAAATCGCACTAGCATCATTATAAAAAACCTCTATCGATTCGCAAAACTTAGCGATTGTTAAAGGTGTACCGGGAACGAGGAAGATAGTGCGCTATGCAAGCAATCATATAATAGACCGACACGGATCAAAACAGACTACTACTTGCGCTAAGGCGCAAATGTGCTAAAGAGTACTTTTTCTATACTACTCCGGTACTGTATTGATCGTTCATATTCAGCTAGGTACGTTAATGGAGACGATTGTGGATGTGCTTGCACACGCGAATTTCATCGTTCACATTAAATAGGTTATAAGCCTTTAGTTTGATGGTTCTGAGAGATACTAAGAGGATTCTTTTTATTTTGTCGCTTTACAGAAGTGTTATACTATTATAATTAGACGCTCAAGATTCCTGAATGACATGAAAAGCTCTGAACTCCATACAGAAACTGAACCTTGATATACCCTTATCGCGAACGCGTGCTCACTACTACACTATCGAGTCTCTTGCTCTGTTTTACTCTTTTTGTGATATTTGCTAGGAACATACCAACCTTGGACCCAGTTATGCTCGCTGCTAATGTATATATAGTCTACAAGAAATCATTACTTTTTGTGACACTAGTATGAGATAGTAATAGTATATCCAAGAATTTCGAGTTTTATGCAAAACTATACGAATCAGAAGGAAGCTAAACTAGCCTTTTTTTTTCGGGGGCGCGTTATTAGCCGCGGAAAGAGTGAAGACTAAGATATAATAAGCGCGAAACGAGAGTTCAATTCTCTCCTGTGGTCTAGAACTTTGCATAACATTCATCATATCTGAAATTCAAAATTTATGGAAGACATGATCAGATATAATATCTTGATCCTTTTATGAGGTTTGGTATGGCACTTTTAACGCTCGACGTACATTTTGGCTTCAAGAAAGCATCATCAGTAACGCGTTCCCTTAGGCTCAACAGTTCTCCTACAACTAATGGTATCGGGGCACGACGTGTTTGGCTTCACGTCAAGTGAAGCGGTCACCCGACAAGCAGTGAGTCGCATTCGATTACTCATAGCTGGTAAACGCATATAGCAATACCTTTCTAGTCGACTACTTTTCAGACATCTCTTCAAGATAATTGATAGAAGTTTTTGAGCTTTTCACGAGATTTAGTATGGCACCTTTAATGCTAGACGTACGTTTCGGTGTTGTCACACAAATCACCAGTAGAACACCGAAATGTACATCCAGCACTAGAGATATCATACCAGATCACATGAAAAGGTTAAAATATCTCACCAGATTATATCGATTTACGTGCAAGATCTCAAAAATAGTTGATCACAAAGGTATTGCCTTATGGGAGATGGTTATGGTGCAAAAAGCACTTCACCTAACTTGGAGATATCGTAATGAGCTGGCTACGCGTGCAAGCTATGTGTACATTTACCACTTGCATCACCTGTCGCCCTTTGATCACTGATTGACTCGAGCGGCATCAGCAATACTTCCATCGTTCCCTATCGCGTGCAAGAGTATCCCAGTGGATTTTATTCGCTCAAGAAATTCGTTCAACATCACATCTTTCTTCTAGGCTTTTCGTGAAGAAATTAGGCCACTGGATCGGTGGTCTTACTGTGAAGCGCTAGACATCCCGTGGAATTCAGTTGGTGACGATTCTCGTTCATCAGTTGCCGTTGAAGAGCATCAAGTGCTTAGCCCGCCTCATTTTTGATAGTTACATGTGGAACGGCATAAAAAACATCCTTGATCGTCAAAGCAGATCGTAACCGCTTAATACCAATTCACGCATTAGCGACAGAACGGGATACTCCTAACATCAACCTTCCGATTGCCGGATCAATAACGCAACGTTACCTTTCATGCTGTTTACGTAGCATCCACGTTTCCTACTGCTTATGTTAGGACACGGATAACCATTGAGTTAAAAAGGTGGGCAAGGGATCGGATGTTCCCGTCCTCTTCACACGTCTTCGATGCTCTTAAATGCTCACCAAATCATCCTGCTCAACTCTGGAAGATCGTTCATCATGTTGACTTCACCTGGAGCATTCGAAGATATTGATTTCGTTGAGCATGAATGAAGCATTCAAAACCTATCAATTTTTCATAAAGATCTTTTTCGGTAGAATTAGTTGGAAACCAATCTTTCATGGGCGTTGTCGAAATCGGACAACATTCCTTCTGCTTGGCTGATGCTTGATATTATACGAACGACATTACGAACGAAGCGAAGATGGCTTGACTGTGGATCGTCGCTTTTCACTCTCATAGTCCCATTTTATTGTCTGTATGACGTTTTGGAGGGTGGCAGTAAACACTTTTGAAGAGATTGCATCGCCTTTGAACCCCTCTTTTACTTAGATAGTAATATCGTTGTAGAATGATGTTAATTTGATTGGAAAACCTTTACGTAGCTCACGAAGAATCATAATGCACTGAGCAGAAACACCCTAGATGTTCAGAGCCTCTATGACTGCTTCTGTTTCTGCCACTCCGAAGACATTCTTCATATCAGAGAGACAGAGCGGACTCCTGCACTCTCGTGAAACTTCATTGAGCCTTGTGATCGCGTGGATGTGGCCTATGGTACCAAATCTTTATCGAAACAGCCTGATCGCATGGCTGCCCTTCCTCCAGTACTCTACTAATCTTGTTTAGGATGAGCTGAGTAAGGATCAGTTGTCTATATCGCAAAAGCCTCTCTTTTTGAACAGTAGCGAGGTCTTAATAGTTTTCAATTGAATGAAGACTTCGCATTCTGAGAGGTAACGAGTGAATCTTGTTTAGGATGACTTGAAATATAGACCCGAGCCAATTTGTTGATAAGAGTCGGCGGTAGGTTATTTTGGTGTTCTGGTCTTATTCTGTCTGGACCTGGTGTTATTAAATTCTTAATAACAAAATAGGGTGTCGGATTACAAAGTCAGAATCGGTGACACAACAAACTCATCGATCTCGTGCGACGATAAGAGAGCGTGAGTATAAGGGAGATCAAAGTAGTATTGTCTGGAAGATATAGCTCTTGATAAGCTAACGTAGAATTGTGCGAGCCGCAGGCAACCAGCTGCCGACATCCGAACTTGTATACAGAAGGTCGCTTAGATATTACTGTGCATATGGCTGCTGTTTTTAAGTTCTACACGGGATCAAACCATCGCCACCTTCGCGCAACGTTTCCTTTTTGGGGCAGAGAAGAGAAAGCTATTAAATTCAAGCAACGAAGTCCCAGAACTACCATAAACTAGGATGTATTCGAGTCATTAGTTGGCTCTTGGGAAGATACCGTTGCCTACAACATCAACGAAGAATACGATCGACTCGTTGAATATCTTCATGTTAGAGGTTTGAAAGCCGAGGGTCCTAAAGTCACGAAGAGGCTCTTGCCGCCGCAGACACTCGAGCTGATACGTCAACGTGGAACCGCACGAGCTACCGGCAACCATGACCTTATGTGCGAGTTTGCGAAACGTTGCAGAGGAGCGATAAAAGAAGACCGCAAAAAGAGACGAGCAGCGGTTATGGCAGAAGGTGGTAAGACCAAGATGATTGCACTCCGATAACCTGACGGGACACTTACAGTTTTCAAAAATGCCATGAAGAAAATTATCCATCAGTACTACTTGGATCTCTTTGCTAGCCATGTCCTCTTACCGTCATATAAAATGAAAGAGAATGAATATGTCGTTTCACCGGTCCTCCCTTGGGAAATCCGACATGCTATGTCGCCGGTGAAGAAGAGAAGAACACGCGGTCCAGACAGGATTAGACCAGAACACCTAAAGAACCTTCCGCCAGTTTTCATCAGCACCCTGGATCGGCTCTTCACTCGCTATCTGTCAGAATGCATGGCTCCCATTCAGTGGAAAACCAGCAAGACCGTGCTGTTGTTCAAAAAGGGAGACCTTCACGACATAGGCAATCATAGCCCAATCTGCTTGCTGTCCGTTGTCTATAAATTCTTTACTCATGTCATCTTAAACAGGATTGTCAGAACACTGCACGAAGTACAGCCATGCGAACAAGCAGGGATCCGAAAAGGATTTAGTACCATAGACCGCATCCACACGATTACAAGACTTATTGAAGTTTCACAACAGTACAAACAACCATTCTATCTCACTTTCATCGATCTGGAGAAAGCCTTTGATTCAGTGGAAACAGAAGCGGTTGTAGAGGCTCTGGATAACCAATAACTACTTGGTACATAGTGCTTTCGTGAGCTTTATAAATAAAGATTGCACGACTAGAATAACTCCATTCTACAACAATATCACTCTGACGTAAGAAGAGATGTTCGACAAGGCGATACAATTTCGCCAAACCTATTTATTGCCACCCTACAAAACATCATGCGAACATTAGAATGGAACGGTATGGGAGTGAAAATTGACGGTCGACGATTAAATTATCTTCTCTTTGCTGATTATATCGTCCTCATAACACCAAGCATCAGCCAAGCGAAACGAATGTTGACCAACTTTGATAACGTCGGGGGAAAAATTGGTCTTCAACTGAATTTAACAAAGACGATGTTTATGAGAAACGGATGGGTTTTTAATGCTCCATTCACGCTCAACGGAACGGCAAAATTCAAATGCTCTAGTTACTGCTATCTAGGTCGTGAAATCATCACGAAGAACGACCTAGCTCTAGAGTTGAGCAGGAGGAAACGAGCGGCTTGGGAAACGTTTAAGAGCATCGAAGATGTAGTGAAGAGGACAAAAAACATCCAACTCCGTGTGCACCTTCTCGACTTGACGATTATTCCTGCCCTAACGCATGCAGCAGAAACCTGGTCGCTACGTAAGCAAGGTGAAAGATCACTTGGCGTTATCG